CCGCCCCTCACATCACTGGGTAAGAGGAGAGAGCAATACGGAGGCTCCGCCTACATCCCCCATCATCTGATACACACATAGAAACAATGTATTCAGTCAGTGTGTGTGTTTCCTATAGATGGATCCAGTAAGAGGAACCCACCAGAGAGATGTCCCCGTCCTCTGTATTCCTGGGATTCCACGCAGGAGGACCACACCATCCCCCACCATGATCAGGTAGGTGGAACTGAGGGTCCCATAAAGTGATTGAAGACTCTGACATGTGGAGATGATGTGTGGACTCTACAAGATAAGATTTTTTTATGGGATCTCACATGCAAAATACTAAATTTTCTGCCATTCTGTTTGTTTAGGCTGAAAATCTGATGAACATAAAACTTGAGGGTGATGAAGAAGAGACGTATGTGAGGGATGATCAGCAACATACAGGGACATTCATAGAAGAGGATGGAACAACGAGGACAATCAAAGAGGAGGACACTCCTACAGAGATCAGCACAGGTGACCCATAATATATTCTTCTATTATCTCTGCTCTGTTCCTGCACACTGATTGGTCCAGAGTAGGGCGGGATCTGAGTGATATCAGCCAATAGTAGGTTGGTATTGGTCACCTCCCTGTACTGATACCCGTCCTGGGGCTCAGCTGGCAGTATTGGGTTGGATGTCACTCCTAGTTCCAGTAGCACAGATATGAGGACACAGATTGGGCCTTTCTTAGGTCGGTTCCTCTTCTTCCAGCAGACTTCTAGCTAAACATAAAACTCTATTATCAGTCTTGTTGGGATGAAAAGTAACAAAGACTGAAACACTTCTCTTTCCAGGAGAACATACTTCTCCAAGCTCCCTCCAGTGCTGCTCATCACCAGAAGCCTAGGCCTGGGGTCACTTGTTCTGTGGTGAAGGGTCTACAAGTCTGAACTTTGATCCTCTTGTTCATCAGACATCACATGGCCCAGTGCCTAGGCTTGTGGTTGGGTGAAGAGCATGCTCCTCCCAGTCCCCATTGGCTCCGCCTCTTCTGATAGGGCTGTGTAAATGTAGAAGTGATCTGGGAGGAGGACCAAGGGCCCTTTGACTGAAGAGGGGAGGAGTCCCAGCTGGTTGGGATCTCCACAGAGAACATCTGCTCCCTCAGACCTCCTGATCCAGATGGAATGTTGAGTGAAGTCATCTAACCCTCTCATATCTCTCCATCATGTGTTTCTATGTTTCCAGGACACGCCATGGAGAAACCCTCAAAGGATCCTCAGACTTTATCTCCAGGTTGTAAGATGGAAGATGAGGACATCACAGCAGATTGTGCGGGAGAAGAGACAATGAGGTTAGCTATGGATGGTGGACTTCACAGTGTGGATAGAGCATGGAATCCCTCTGACTCTGAGCCACCTCGTCCTGTGGGGGATGGTGCCGGAATTCAGGGGGAGAAGACATTTCCCTGTCCTGAGTGCAGGGAAAGTTTTACCTCTGAATCAACTCTTTGTGTTCATCTGAGTTCTCACATGGGTGACAAGTTTCTTTACTGCTATGAGTGTGGGAAATGTTTTCTTCATAAATTTGAACTCATCAATCATTACAGATCTCACACGGGGGAGAAGCCGTATTCCTGCCCCGAGTGCGGGAGAGGTTTTTCACAGAAGTTTAATCTTACCAAACATCAGAGATCTCACACGGGCGAGAAACCTTATTTCTGCTCTGAGTGCGGGAAATACTTTTCAGCAAAGTCGGCCCTTAACTTACATCAGAGATTACACACTGGTGAGAAGCCGTATTCCTGCACCGAGTGTGGGAAAAGTTTTACACAGAAGGGTCATCTTGCCAGTCATCTGAGCTTGCATACGGGAGAAAGGCCATTTCCATGCACTGAGTGTGGAAAATGTTTTCTACATAAATCCAAACTGCTCAGACATTACAAATCTCACATGCGGAAGAAGTCGCATTCCTCCCCTAAGTGAGGGAAATGGAATAAACTTTATAAGGAAAAAGGTGTTCATTGAAGTCTTCAAAGTTGTGTCTGGCTTCCTCTGTTAGGAGAGAGAGAGGGAGGGGGCTGTCACTGCTGGTTGTGTCCCTGTAGCAGTGTAGTCTGATCTCCCTTCAAAGAAAGACATAATGGTGAGGGGGAGGAGCAAGATATTGCTTGTGGGTGAAGAGAAGGGGAGATCAGACTACACGACAGGACTGACCATGTCACTGCAGTGTAATGAGGTCTGGGCACCCCCAAAAGCAGTCAGGAAACCCCCGTTGCCCCTCCTTCTGTTGAAATGTTCCACTTTGCAATATCATCGAGCCAGCCTACCAATAAAGACCGTCTTAAAAAGACCATGTTATCCGTGTTACCCCGGCCTATGTCATAACCCTTTTAATAGTGTGTCATAAAAGTTAGGGCTGCACCGATACCGGTTTTTCGGTATCGAGTACGAGTACCGATACTTATATTTTGGTACTCGTCGGTACTGAGTACGATACCAGTACTTCCGGTAGCATAGAGCCGTCTTCCCGGGCAATCAGGGAGCCAGGAAGGCGTATTGATTGCCCGGAAGCCTACTCCATTCTGTTTGGCCGGCTGGATGCTGATTGGCCCCCGAAGCCGGCTTCCCAGCCAATCGACATCGAGGCCGGTGCCAAACAGATCCGACAATATGGTGACACGACCCGGCACCTAATTCCCCTCACATAGTTCCTTAGCCACGTTCATTAACATACCAGTCCCTCGGCCAGCGCTCTCCAAGTGGTCAGACATCGCTCTGGAAGATCTCCCCACGTCTCCTGTGTGCACAGCGCCCCCGCGTGATCGGCACCCAGCCTGCTGCTACGCATGCGCAGACTGCCCAGCGCTCTCATTCAGAAATCCTGTGCATGCGCAGTAGCAGGCTGAGCGCCGATCACGCGGGCGCTGCGCACACAGGAGACGGCAGCAGATCCGGCCGAGGGACTGGTACGTTAAAGGATGCTGAGGTGCATGGAGCCAGCTTCCCGACTCCATCTTTCCTCACGGCACTGCCGGTCAGAGGAAATCTCCCTCTGATCGGAAAGCTCTAGTATCGGAAAAGGTATCGGAGCATTTTTGGCCGAGTACTCGGTATCGGCACCGATACTAGTATCGGTATCGGTGCAT